GTGTGGAGGCTTTCAAAGGAGTTAATGTTTGAGGTGAAAGGACATTCAACAGAAGAGCAAAAAGCAGAAAAGTTCAAGATGCATATGGTAGCAAAGAAAGTACTAACAGGACAGGATTGTAGAGGAGTGAGAAGCAATGAATGCTTAAACACCTGGCCATCATTAAGACTTTAGCAATTTTTTTTTAATGTAAAGCAATAAATAGAGTGTACTGGATTACAAGCTTGGACAATAATAAGGTAGGCTAGAATTAAAAGCTAAGCCTCCAGTTCATTGCTTAAAAATCTACTAGTGCTTCACTTTGATTATGGAATCCCTAATTTTATCTTTGATGGACTCAAGTTGTAACAGAAAGACCTCCCATAAATCCAGCACAGCCTTCCAAATGACATTTAAATTCCCTTTATAATACATCCTATCCACATGTCTCATAGGTTCAATGAATAGGTTTCTTTCTTAGGCCCTCTTTAAAGTTCCTCATGTATGGAGAGATGATCATAAATACTAGGCCCATTTCTCAGATGATCTTGCCCACACTTAACACAATTCATTAGCTTCTTCAGAGATCTCTCTGCCTTGACACATTCAGCCCATGCATTTCTTTTTCAGTCAAATAAATGAATGTTTTAAGGTGGTCGTTTGAAATTCACAACTTTTTTCTTCTTACAGAGGAAATGTGATCAATATTGGCCAACAGAGAATAGTGAGGAGTATGGGAACATAATTGTCACATTGAAGAGCACAAAAGTACATGCCTGCTACACTGTTCGTCGTTTTTCAGTCAGAAATACAAAAGTGAAAAAGGTATCGAGGGAACTCGGTGGGCTGGCAGGATGTCTCTTTTTAAAAACCAAGTTGGTTTTCATACAAGTTTAAAAAAGTATTTTTGAGACATTTTTTCACAAGTCTCTGGATATACCATTTTATGGTGGGAGAGGTACTGGCAGAGCACTTAATAGAATGTAACTGGCCCAGCGGGTTTGTTGATCTCTTCTTTTCTTCCAGGAAGTCATTCTCTCAAGTTTTGGTAACACTCAGCAAATACAGTAGCATCTATTTGTTGATGTTACTTTTTAATTCCAATTTCCTCACAGCTTCAGAGCATTGTTTCCCAAAGAGTGTTCGATTCGTAGTCCCATGGATGCTTATGAAAAACCAAGTTCTGCTATTCAGTAAGAATGGGAGATGAATGCTAGCTCACATATATCCCATTTTAGAAATTTACAGAAATTACAAGTGACTGGAATGATGGAATTAAGAAACCTGTAGAACCGATTCCTGGTGTGACTTACCCATAAACTCCTTTCTATAGAACTACTAATAGCCTGTAAAGTCACACTGCATGGAAATGCTGCTTTTGAGCTGTTTCAGTTTCCGGCTGAAACTCCACTGTCACAACAATATTTGGTTCTTCAGATAGACAGCTCAGTACTATGGCAATCGTTTGTAGCAGTGGGACCTTTTTTGGCATCTTGGACATGTTTAGAATGTTATAAAATAGTAACCTCCTTGTCCCAGAAGAATGTACATTTACTCAGACTTTATATACATTTTTGGGTGGCTCTGAAGCCCATCTGTGATCCAAGATTAACAGTCCTTTCTATGTCTAGTTATTTCCAAAAATGGCAGAAATACACAAAAATCGACAGCTCTGTATCTGAGTTCTCTATCATATAGCTGTTGGTCCAAGTGAGCCAGAGCCAATAGACAAAGCATATTACGCATGGGAACCCTTCAGGTGTTTAAACAGGCCCACTGTACCTTCTTCTAGAAATAGCTTAAGTCAGAGATATCAGTAGGAAATTCAGGTATTCTGTATCCTGATAAGAAAAAGCAGAAAAATGAAAGTTTACACACAATGACCTATCAGAGGAGACTTTTCATTCAAAAGGGTTTGTTCCTTAAAGGAAAAGTACTCTGAGAAAGTGGCAGATGCATGAGACCTTGCCTCTGATTCTAGAGATGGAGAATCATCTGACACTTAATATTTTCCCTTCACTTCCTGGAGAATGCACAGCACAACCTGTCCTCCAGCTCCAGAAGGTCTCCCCTTCTGGAGACAGTGGGCAAAGAGTGAGAATCATGGCCCATGATCTAGTTGGGCAGATAAAAGCTAAGTGAGGCAGCATTTAGAAAATGGAGGCCTTGCAGGAAGTTGACCAGCGCTCTGGATAGTTCTAAGACTATGGAGAGTCCAGAAGACCAGAATTAAGTGTTCATTCTTGGGATTTTTTTTTTAGTTGTAGATGAACACAATATCTTTATTTATATATGGTGCTGAGGAGTAAACCCAGTGTCTCACATGTGCTTGGCAAGTGCGCTACAATCCCATTCTAGAGACAATCTCAGGGGGAATTTTTACAACCTAGAGTTATGCTGGAGTATGACTCCATTTCATGAAAAACATTGGGCACAAAGATGAAATAACCTGGCTCAGCACATGGGGGAATGAAAACAGAGGGCATGGGTCCTAACACCCTTACCTTATTTGTTTCCAGAATGCTCATATGCAGATTAAAGAGGTCTTCTTACACCATTCACAGGGCCAGAAAGGAAATCCCAAGGGTCGTCAGAACGAGAGGGCAGTGATCCAGTATCACTACACACAGTGGCCTGACATGGGAGTTCCTGAGTATGCCCTCCCGGTCCTGACCTTCGTGAGGAGATCCTCAGCAGCTCGGATGCCAGACATGGGCCCTGTGTTGGTGCACTGCAGGTAGAGCCAACGTCCTTCTCTTTTTTCTACCTGGGATTCAACACATGAAGGGGGCTGAACAGGAGCTTGGGCCTTGTGAACTTGGACCATGGAAACGCTGCTACTGTTTTGATTACTTGGGCCAAATCTTCCTCTAAAAATGGAAGTTAGTCTTTTCAAGTAGCTATATTTCCAGCACATTAAGAAATCATTTGCAATTCTGAAAAAAAAATCTGCTCAACTAGATGAATCTCTGGTTTTAATAAAATGATCTTATTAGTAAAAGTTCCTATTGTAAGAGCTTTCCACACCAGAGATTATGGCTTTTCTGTAAGGTTCCTCCTAATATTTACAGTACATATGAAAAGACGTTTTTAAAGTTTCTGGTTTATACATGCCGTATAAAATATCTTTTAAAAGGCACTTGGGCTTGGGAAGTCCAGGCAGGAGGATAGCAAGTCGAAAGCCAGCCTTAGCAAAAGCAAGGTGCTAAGCAACTCAGTGAGACCCTGAGTTCAATTCCTGGTTACCCCCACAAAAAAAAAAAAAAAAAAAAGCACTTGGAGCTGGGCACTTGTAATCCCAGCCACTCAGCCTTGAGACTGAAGAGACAGCTTCAGCAACTCAGTGAGATCCCATCTCAAAAAAAAACAAAAACAAAAAGTGAATCCTATTTTTTTTCCTTCAACTAAAATAATTTTAGATGGCTGTTTAAAAATGCTTTGATTACATTTCATTTGCTATTGCATTCTTGACTTTTTGGGTTTTTGTTTGGCTTCAGTGTTCAAATGGATGTTACTTATTCTGTGACTGTCGCAGAGCTACATGGCATTTTCTCAGCATTTCTTTTGGGCTGTTCTTATAAGATTCTTTCACAAAACAAACCCTTTCCACAAGTTAGAACACATCTTCTACTTGAAATCCCATGAGAACTCTAGTTTTTCACTAATCCATTTAGGAATCACTAAAGTGGAGATAAGTGTCAAACAGCCTAGGTATTGTGCTAGACAGGAACCTTCTGGGGCATTCTGCCCAAACAAGCTTGTTATTCAGTACTGCAGAATTCAGATCTTCCTGGCTATTTATTTAAATCACAATTAAGAAATGCAAATATAAGAAACCAAATTTTCTGAATGTACCATTCTCATTCTACAACTGATTACTCAAGAAAAACATCCCTTATTTAAATAGGAACTGTCTAATAATGAGATCATTAGTTTCTTAGATGTCTGCAACAGAGGCAGACGCACAGAAAAGGGGTTTATTAAAAGGATAATGCATACTCAGCTGGGAGAGTTGGAGAACCAAGCGCAAGTTCAAAGGCTGCCTGCACAGTGCCTCAGCAGGCCAGTCGTGGTGTGGAGATTGCTGCTGCCATGAGACGCCCCTCAGTCCCTTRCAGCCCGAGTGCACACCCTTTGTCTCCCAGCTCCTATGGGAAAGTCTGTACTCCTTGTCAAGATCGTTCATAGTGAGACATGTCCTAGTAAAGTTTTGAGGTGTAATCTATGTGAATATCCTTTGTCATTTATACTAGGTTATCTAGACAAGAGGGTTATTTCTCACTTCATTAGGTACTTGCATTGTGACCATGGATTGGGGGGGGGGGGAATGACAAAGTCCTAGTTGAGTGCCTTCATTTTTTACAGCGCTGGCGTGGGCAGGACAGGCACCTACATTGTGATAGACAGCATGCTGCAACAGATCAAAGATAAAAGCACAGTCAACGTCCTGGGATTCCTGAAGCATATCAGGACACAGCGCAACTACCTCGTCCAGACGGAGGTAAGGAGTGACCGCCAGTGCCCTCTTGAGATTCCAAAAGTTGAGCCACACTGGAGAGACAGATTCATCCTCTTAGGGCTCGAAGGAATTTATAGTTTGTATTAGAAGATACACTGACCACAATTCCACTCTTTGGATCATAGGATTCTGTTTCGATGTGGATCTTAACATCATCTCAGTAATCAGATAAAGTTGCATCAAGAGCTGTGTTAGATGCTTTGGGAGTTAAACATGTTTTCTGGCCTGAAAACATTGTAGATGATGGGTCTTAAGCCCTTCATTAAGCACACATTCTCAATTGCTGGCTGCATTGAACCACCTGTTCCCGGCATGGTGTGGAATTATAATGGAAAAGGAACTCACTAGGAAGTCCCTTATGGGAGCAGAGTTAACCTAAGGCTGACTTCGTGAACGGCTGGCTACCTCCACATCTCTCACTGGTGATCACCCCATATCGTACCTTTCAGGAGCAGTATATTTTCATCCATGATGCCTTGTTGGAAGCCATTCTTGGAAAGGAGACTGAAGTATCTTCAAATCAGCTGCATAGCTATGTCAACAGCATCCTCATACCAGGAGTAGGAGGCAAGACACGACTGGAAAAACAATTCAAGGTAGTGCTCTGAAAAAATTCTTGAGCAAGGAAGCGAAAAACACCTTGCGTTTGGGATCATGTCTTCTTTGCGTTAATGTATAGAAGGAGTATCTACATAAACACCACCATTATGTATTGGTGGTGTTTAAGTAGACAGTACAGTGCTGTATTGTCTTCTGAGTAATTTACAGCTTTATCCAAACAAACATCATCCTTTGGCCACAAGGTACAGAAGACTTGAATGGTTTGTTCTGGTCCAAAAGAGTATTCAAGATGTTTCTTCTGAACTATGCAATGACACCTTTATTCACAGTGGTTATTTGTAAATATATTGTCCTCAAAATATGCCTTTTTAGAAAACTAGACCAAAAGAATTTGGAAACTACAAGAGTTACTACTATACTAAACAATACTATAGAACTTTCCCCAAAATGGCTATTTTTCTTTGATGGGGACATGGTGAAGTTCAAAGGCAGTTAAAGTTTATATGGACTTGACAGAAGTAAAGGTGGAAAAGAGGGACTGTTAGGGCAAATAAATTTAGACCAGAAAAGCTCAAAGAAGTAACTGTAACTTACTAATGCCTCCTGTCTTTCCAATTACTGAGTGCCTTCCTATTTATTAGTCTATTCAAATTCTATTTTTTTACACAGTGTTCCATATGTGATTTCTCATTTTGTGTCAAGAAAATTAATCTGCAGTTTTCAATGGTAAGGTCTTCCAGAGTCTGAAACTTTCATTTGACTCTTAGCTGAAGAAATGAGACAGCCAAGCAAATTATTCCAGGTGATAAGAAAATAGGAATGAATTCAATGAAAGTAATCTAACAATAATTTTAAATTTCTGGCTCTTAATGTTCCTACTACAAAACCATTTGAGGCAATTAATTGTGAGGACACAATTTATCATTTTAAATGTTTAAAATGAGTTCTTACAAAATATTAAGTACCAACATTTCATTTGAATCTTTTTTGCAGAATTTAAGAAGAGTTCAGAGATGGGAAAGTGTTACCGTGAAAACTAAAACTGCACAGATTCATCTCTTTATTTGCATCTTGACACAATATAAGAAATCACATGTAGAACTACGTGCAAAAAAACAAAAATTGAAAAGACTAATGACAGCATCCTTAATTCAAAAATCTGAAATCCATAATGTCACAAGTAGAGCCTTGTTTAAAATTACCTTCAGGATAGATATTATACATACACACACACACAAATTTCAATCCTAACAACAATTTTAAATTTATAGCTGTTAAACATCCTGACTATTGTAAAGCCATTTGATTCCCATCTTTAAAATGCAAAATTTTACATATACACAGAAATCTATTCCAAAATCCTAAAGAATATGACACTATGTTAGTTCCACCCATTTTTGGATAAGGGAGACTCCACCTGTATTAGTTTGCACATCCCTTTAAAAAAAATTCTCCAAAGAAATCAGCTCAATTGGAATCCAGGTTATTATAGGCACTAACCATTTTAGAACTCAAAAGGAAAAAATCAGAAACTAAATCATGAAAATTACCTCTAAGGTGTATGATGGTAGTAATAAAGCACTTGAAGACTGTTCCCATACACTCATTAAGGTAGACCCACACAAAACAGATTGATTATTCTCCTGTTTACCTAGCTTGATTGAACCGAACTACTGATTTTTTATTTTTTTTTTAATATGGGAGAGTGAACATAGGGGCATTTAATCACTAAGCCATGTCCTCAGCCCTTTTTCATTTTATTTTGAGGCAGGGTCTCACTGAGTTGCTTAGGGTCTTGTTAAGTTGCTGAGGCTGGCTTTGAACTCCTGACCCTCTTGCCTTAGCCTCCTGAGCCACTGGGATTACAGGTGTATGCCACCAAACCTGGCTACCGGGCTGATTCTTAATAAYGGCTTTAGAACAATGTCAGTTCAACAGAAATGTACCCAGAACTTAAGTTCTTCATCTTCAAGAGTAGAGTCACTTGAGTCTTATGGGCCGCTGTGGAATTATGGACAAAATGCACAATAGCAGTAACCTATGCAACAGCAAAACTCCACACAGTTCAATCATTTCTACACACAGTCCCTGCCAGTAGAACTAAGACAAGGACACAATCAAGGTCATAGAAAGATGTGCTACTAGTGAAGCGAGAAAGCATTCTTCAGGGCATAAAAATGTTGTTAGTAATCTTATTGATATTGTTCCAAATTGCCTAATAGGTACTATTGGTTATACCCGTGAATGCAGACTAAATTGTTGCTTTTCTTTCAGCTTATCACACAGTGTAATGCAAAATACGTGGAATGCTTTAGTGCTCAGAAAGAGTGTAACAAGGAAAAGAACAGAAACTCCTCCGTCGTACCATGTAAGATCTTAACAATCAGTGTGTTGGTATAGATAATCTGTAAAGAGGCAAATGTTAAATTGAACTGAGGCAAAATGGAAGGGTAGCTTTGGTGCCAGCAGTCATCCATCTGATGTGAACTCTATCTTCTGCTCACCGAGAAATGTTATCTCAGGACACAGTAGAGGACATTATGGGTGTGCACTATAGACACAGGCATGGCTGCTCATTGGAGAGGTGAACAAGGCCCCTGCTTTTATAAGCCTTTCATGGAAAAAAAGAGCGAAGTATACTTTTAGGAATACCAAATCTCAAACCCTCTCGCATGTCTGTACTGAATAGTCTCTAAGCGATCTGCTATGAAGACCTCTTTCACAATAAAAAAATTTTCCTAAAATGTTTATCCTGAGCATGTGCAGTAAAATTTCATTTTACATTGTTTTAGCTGATAACACTTTAGCTTCTTTAAATATATAGGTATAAGTCTTGGACGGGGAGCCAGAGGATAAGTAAATCTCAGAAAGAGCTGTTGGTTCCTWTTTATAATATGGTGTTATTTTTTTCCTTGTGATAGCGGAGCGTGCTCGAGTGGGTCTTGCGCCATTGCCTGGAATGAAAGGCACAGATTACATTAACGCTTCTTACATTATGGTGAGTCAACAGCCCATCAGACATAAAGTCCATTAAACTGAAAGGTGTTAAAAGAACAGATACCACCTATGCCATAGATTCTTGTTTTGAAATATTCTGTGTACATCGAAGAATGCTTTCCTCAGTTATTTTAGTGGGGTCAAAACAGTGCCGTTTTGTTTCAGGAGTATACTTTGTCATGTCATAAAGTTAGAAGCGAACTCTCATAATCACTGATTTTTCCCTCTTCCCAACTGAAGGGCTATTACAGGAGCAATGAATTTATTATAACCCAGCATCCTCTGCCGCATACTACGAAAGATTTCTGGCGAATGATTTGGGATCATAATGCGCAGATCATTGTCATGCTGCCAGACAACCAGAGCTTGGTGAGTACGGTACATCTGCTATATATTAATGAGCCCGGGAGGCTACAAACATAAATTACTTTGATACCTTGCCACAGGGCTGTACTGTCTGTAGGTGCTAGGGAGGAAACTTAGACTTTCTGTGGGGGTTCACTTATTCCTGTGTGTTCCATTACTTCTCTAATGCTGATGATATTACCCTTCAGTTGTACTCTATGGGGCAGCATGGTGGAAAGTTTCAGAAAAAGGTGACTTTAGATGGCTGAGCTGCTGTACGTCATATTCCATGTATGGAATCTGTAACTATGCTTACTCTCGATATCATCTTTAATGACATAAGTACTACTACTCTCATCTAGTAGCTGAGAAAATAACTGACTTGTCCAAGAGCATGCACGAATAGTTGGAGCCAGGATTTGGATCTAAGTCATCTTGCCTTCAGAGTTCATGCTTTCAATTGATTATTTATTTATTTTTGCTCAGAAACAAAAATCATATCAGAAGTACTACTATTATATCAGGGTCCCACTTAAGATCTTGACTAAGCTACAATTTCTTTCCCTACTTTAGTCATTCCCTATGGAAGCCTAAACTCTGTAAGAGATGGATGAACAAATTTATAAAACAGATTTACACATTTCTGCTTAGACCTCCTGCATACTTAACTCTCAGAATTATCTGGGTCTTAAAAGGTTACTATGTGGACATGAGAACCCACAAGATAAAAACAATGAGGCTCTGCCTCCATGAGTGTCAGATTAATGAGTTTTTTAATCAAGAAAGAACAGCCTGTGATTGAACCCCTAGTCTCCATGACATGCGTTTGACTGGGTGCCCAGTCAGTAGGAACTTCTTCACTTTGTCGCATTTTGCTCCAGCTTCAGAATACCAAGGCTGCTTCTGTATGGTGGAATGGCAGCAAAGTTGAGAATCAAAAGCTGGAGTGTAAATTTTCAAATTAGCTGGCAACAAGGGTCTATTCAGTTTGGCATGTGGAAATTGGAGGCTTTTAGGGTTGTTAAAACAGTCATTTGTTGGATGAGTCAGTATTTTCTTATTGTCACTTAACAGAGGACAGGCACCATAAAGTATCTACCAGGAGCTCTTTTGTATGGACTGGACCCAATAAGGGGTACATGTTCTGTGGACGGCAAGGGTACAGGAACCACCATCGAACGCATCTATGTCTCCGGGAGGCTGGGCTAGAATAAGTGTCTGCTCTCAATTGTGAGATTGAGTTTCATCATTGCACAGTTTTTCTAAAAATGAGCTCTAGATGATTCTCGTTATTGCTACTTGTCTCTACCAAAACTATTTAAGACAATAATCCTGTAAGTAGCCTAAAAGTCACTGGTTCCTAACTCAGAAAGCACTGTTATCAAGGCTTAGACATCTTTGAACTGTATTTGACAGCAAAATAATGACTCCAGAATGCCTGCTGAATTAAGAAGCAGCACTTGATTTCTTAGACTTTCAAGATGATTAATTATTCCCTAGTTTGATTTCTCCATTCCAAAGTTTTCTTCTGCCTTTCCTTCACCATAGTTAAAATATCTTTAACGTCCTTTAAACCAGTTAGGTAATTTACTATTCCTGTTTCTTCGAGGTATGTAGTTTTTTTATTCCCACTTTTCAGACATGGAAATTAAGACTCAGAAAGACTAACTTATTT